ATACATATTCAAAAAAAAATTGTGGCTGACAAAGAGTTAGTGGGAGACTAGTATAGCTATTTCAACCTCCTACTAACTCTTTGTCAGCCACAAATTTTTTTTGAATTTACAGTATTCACAATATGTGATGTCTGCCTGCAAAACATGCTCCTAGATTGGAGCGAAATGCAGAACAGACTGATTTATCCTATACTTGGTAGACTGGGTGCTCCAGCCAACACATAGATATACATAGATATACATAGATATTTTTAAGTGAGTTTTGTCCCATTTTACGACTTTTCTTGCCATGTCTGTTAAGTGAATCGCTGCAGTTGTGAAATTAGTAACATGGTTGTTAAGTGAATCTGGCTTCCCCCATTGACTTTGCTTGTCAGATGTTCGCAAAAGATGGTCACATGACCCCGGGACATTGCAACGTGCCATAAATTTGAACCAGTTGTCAAGCATCCGAATGTAAATCACGTGACATTTTCAGTGCCATTGTAACTTTGAATGGTCATTAAACGAAGTGTTGAATGTTGGGAACTACCTGTACTAGCTTTCCTCATCCAACCAGATATAATCCTATGTTGCATCAGTAGTAGTATAATCCGTAGATTGGGGGGGGGGACAGTTATAGATCGGGGGGTGGGTGTTCCTCTCTCTTCTGCATTGGATCATACTGGAACACTGTGTCCGCATCTGGAGCCATTGACAATTTGAAATATGTCCATAGAATAGATAATATTCTATCTATTCTTCAAAAAGAAAAAGTATGAAGAACAGTTAGAGGCATTGGGTAATTTATGTTTATATCTGTAGAGAGATATGATAGCTGCCGCTAAATATCTGAACCACAGTCATGTTGAATAACAGAATTGGAAGGGATGGGACTGATGATTTTGATGGTTGCTACAAGATTATTTCTTTTCTTTTTTTTCCTTTGTCAGTGTTGCATAGAGCAGGGGTCCCCAAACTTGGCAACTTTAAGACCTGTGGACTCCCCACAGAATTCTGGGAGTTGAAGTCCACAGGTCTTAAAGTTGCCAAGGTTGGGGACCCCTGGCATAGAGTGACTTAACCGAATGAAACCACAGTAGTCCTCAACTTACAACCATTTGTTTCGCAACCATTCAAAGTTACAATGGTGCCAAATAAAATGACTTACAACCAGTCCTCATACTTATGACTATTGCAGCAGCCGTGAGGTCACGTGATCAAAATTCAGATACTTGACAATCTGTATGTATTTATACTGGTTGCAGTATCCCAAGGTCACACGATTGCCATTTTTAACCTTCCCATCTGGCATCCAACAAGCAAAGCCATTGGGGAAAGCTGGATTCGCTTAGCGGCAGTTAATTCGCTTAACAAGCACAGTGATTCATTTAACAACCACAGCAAAAAAAAAGGATCGCATGACTCACTTAATGACCTCCTTGCTTAGCGATGGAAGTTTGGGTCCCATTTGTGATTGTAAATTGAGGACTACCTGTATGCCCATTCATCCCTGCCACCACTTTCCTTTTTCCAGTAAGCCAGTGTTTCTCAACCTTGACAATTTTAAGGCATGTGGACTTCAACTCCCAGAATTCCACAGCCAGCATTGCTGGCTGTGGAATTCTGGGAGTTGAAGTCCACATGCCTTAAAATTGTCAAGGTTGAGAAACACTGCTTAAGCTGAAGTTTTGCAAAATACTGTTGTGATTGATGGTCTTGTCTAGTAAGAATAGCCAGGCAGAATAAATGGGAGCCAGGAAAAGAAGTCTCATTCATTCCAGTATGAAACAGTTCATAAAAAAAGGAACAAAGTGCCTTTTCAAATTCTTTGTATCTTTCATTCCGTGATAACACAATGCACATATAATAGGGGAGGGGCTTGCATCACACTGCTTGTGCTGTTCAGACCCCTACACTCAGAGGGTGTTTGAACTTGCATCATTGTGGATTTTCTACCTCATCCAATTACATTGACCAGCAGTTGCACTGGTGGGGCCCACTTTCTCTCTGGTTTTTTGAACGTTTATTCCCCAAAGCAGCCTTCCATAACCTGCGGTAGCACCCTTCAGCTGTATTGGATGCAATTCCTGTAACTCCCAGGGCAACAAAGTTGTCTGAAAATACAATTGAGAGTGGCTATAGTTACTGACAAAGTTAAGACATTGTATGGTAAAATGTGATATTTTTGATTTGTGACAAAATGTAGTATCCTCTCTTTTTGTTTAAGCTGATCCCAATTGGCATGTCCATTGTTCATAAGGCAAGAGAGTTAACTTGTTGAACTCCAAGTCTCATAAGACCAGCCGCCAAGTCTGTGAACACTGTAATCTAGTATTTGGCATTATACAGGATCCGCATCTTTGCTGAAGTCAATCAAAGCTGTCTAAACTGGTGACAGATTCTTAAAATTAAATAGGGCTCCAGTCAGACACAGAACTTTACATCTAAAATTATAAAATAGCACATAGGCAGGTAGTCCTCAACTTTGATTTGAACCAGATTTTTTGTGGCTAAGAAAGTTGTTTGTTGAGTGAGTCACGCCCAATTCTACAATCTTTTTTTGCCACAGTTGAATGAATCACTGCAGTTATTAAGTGAATCAGACAATTGTTAAATGAATCTACCTTCGCCCATTGTCTTTGTTTGTTGGAAGTCAGTTGGGAAGGTCTCAAAAGACAATCACAAGCGCTTGGGATAGTGCAACTGTTATAAATACATGCCAAATGCCAAGTGCCTGAATTTTGATCACATGACTGGAAATGTTGGGATGGTTTAAGTGGGAGAACCAGCCATAAATCACTTTTTTTTAGTACTGTTGTAACTTCAAACACTCACTAAACAAGTGGTTGTAAGTTAAGGACTGCCTGTACTCAACTGTTTCCCACATATTTTATTTCATCTGGCCTACATAAATGATAAGAGTTCAACTTTGCAGAGGGAAACAACAAATAATAACTATGAGATACTTTAGCTTTTTGTCCCAATTTAAAAGTACATCTTAAATTTGAATTTGAATCTATTACTTCTATATTAAGGGATCCAACATACACTCCCCAAATAGCATAAAGATTAAAAAATGTTCAAGAAACCTGTTCCTGGTGGACATGTCCTTAGATGTGGTTATTCCATAGGATATTTCAACTCTGTACAAACACTCTTTATGGGGGAAAAAATCCAGAACTTCGGAAGAATNACATCTTAAATTTGAATTTGAATCTATTACTTCTATATTAAGGGATCCAACATACACTCCCCAAATAGCATAAAGATTAAAAAATGTTCAAGAAACCTGTTCCTGGTGGACATGTCCTTAGATGTGGTTATTCCATAGGATATTTCAACTCTGTACAAACACTCTTTATGGGGGAAAAAATCCAGAACTTCGGAAGAATTCAGAACTTTGCATGATACAATTCTGGAAGAGAAATATGTGTCTATAGACCATAGCAGAATCTCCTATGCTAGCTTGCAGTCATATAGTACAATACTGTGTATTTGTAGTTATATGAAAGTGAAAATACATAATGTAATCTCTAGCAAAATAACATTTTAGATATACAGTATGTTCACAGAGGGATCTCTAGCACTTAAGAATAATCACATCCATGTTTACTACAACCCGTGTTTCTCCAAAAATAAGACCAGGTCTTATTATTTTATTTTATTTTTTTGGCTTAAAAGAGGCACCAGGTCTTACTTTCAGTCTTTTATACTCAACTCTGGCACTGACAGCCCCACCCAGCCGGCCCCACTTCTTCTGACCAAAGGAGCAGCTTCATTCTGCAGCTGTATTCCACCCTGCATTTTGCAGTCAAGCCTTTCTGGAAGGCTATGCAGCCGAGTACTGAGCTATGGATTCAATCCATAGCTTGGTTCTCAGCTGCAATGGCCTTCTGGAAAGGCCTGTGACTGAGAAATGCAGGCCTGGCTGCAGAAGACGCCACAGAAGAAGTGGGCCAGCAAAGAGAGGCCTGGCTGCAAGGTGAGTGGGTGCGGGGCACATGGGGCAGCTCCACATCCCCACCCCCACCCTAGCTTGATTTTTAGGTGTGTGCCTTGCCCCAAAACTAGGGCTTGTTTTTGGGGTAGGGCTTATATTAGGCCCACCCCCAAAAATCAAGCTAGGGCAGTGCTTCTCAACCTTGACAATTTTAAGGCATGTGGACTTCAACTCCCAGAATTCCACAGCCAGCAATGCTGGCTGTGGAATTCTGGGAGTTGAATTCCACATGCCTTAAAATTGTCAAGGTTGAGAAACACTGAGCTAGGGCTTATTTTCGGAGTAGGCCTTACTTTTGAGGAAACAGGGTATTACTGAGTTGATGAATTCTGTACAGTTTGTCCAAATTTGCCATTAAAGTTATGAAGATCTGAATCTTGAAGTTAGAATTATATCAAAATATCAATGGGCATAGATGCTTCTTAAGGGGCTATCACATGGAGCATTGGGGGTGAAGTATTTCAACTACAAGATCCCTGTCTTCCTTACTTAACACTTTGGCTGCTTTTCCCACATACTATCAGAAACTCTACTGATCTGGATCAAATTTATGATCTCTTGTTAAAGAAAACAAAATAGAACAAAATATTCTATTGCCATGAGATGAAGAATGAATAGTGACACTAATTGTCTCCTGGTCTGAATAAGTTGCAGTATAGCTATTGTTAATATCTGAAAACTTGTAGCAATTATTTTTCCACAAACTGCCTTGATAAGTACCTGTTCCTCAAAACAGTTTTGATTAAAATAAATCTTCCCAGAACATTGGTTTAAACATGTTTATTGACAATAAAATGGACTGCAATTGTGTAATAGTAATTTTTGGTTCTAAACTCATTTGGTTACCTTCATGCAAAAAAAAGAGGAGATAGAACAAAATATTAATCAGACATTAATGTTAATAATTAACTACATTAATTTTCATTACCATGCAGTTCCAAACTCCAAATTGTCTCACACATGGACAAAACCAACGGCTGCAGCTGTGTTAAACTTAGCAATGACTTTTTTAATTCAGTTCTAGTTAGGCTCAAGAGTGACTTACAACTTCCTGAAAAGTCTTTTAGTGAGAGCTTGGAAATGGGAAGACTCCATACAGTAGCCTAATAATAAGGAAAGTACTCAAGTTGTATTAGCTTTGAATGCATTAAGTAAATAGCAGAAACAAGCTTGGGGGAATCCAGAAGTCATCATGTTCTCAGCCACTGTATTCTGTAACTACTTCATGGTTATCCCTTCCATAATGGATAAGTTAGATAGATCAATTTTCTGTTGACGTTCATGGAGTCAAGCAACTCCATATCTTCTTTTGCAAGCCTAAAATCAAAGACCTGGAAATCAATAATGGAGGAATAATTTCAATACATTAAATTATATTAAATGTTTTTGACAATCAACCCACTGTAACATCAATTTGTGTTCTGCATATAAACTACTATTACTTGTATTGGGGATATAGGATAGGTGTTTTTCCTTCAAGCTTGGATATGGAAGTCTTGGAGGAAAATTGCTGTTGTTCCTGGTGAGTAGTAGACCTGTGATACATTCAACTCCAGCAAATATGTCCCCCCACCCACCCCCGACTTTGCACGGCTTCAAAAATCTGCAAAATGAATTTGATCAGAGGTCATAGCAAAATGAAAGAACTGTCCATTTCTGGGGAAGCAAAACTTTACACAGGTTTTCAAGTGTCTTAAAAGACTGTCATGTTTAAAATTGAGTGGTTAGGAATCCTGACTGCCCATTGAAGAAACACTCAAATTTACTTAAAAGACGCTCAGTTTCAAAGGCTATTTCATTTTTGTTTAGGCATTATGAAAGCTTAAATAAAATTTCAAGTTATAAGGCATTGTTGAGTCCCTTTTGATATACTACCTTTTCCATATTGTTATTATTATGGCATTTTTATATTTGAACTATAATGATATTAAGTATGTAAAATGAAATAAATTCATTTGTTACAAAAGACAGGTTTTCCAAATATATTGCTGTTATATTAATAGTATCTGAGAGTTATCTGTAGAAACAAAAGAAACAGAAAGCATCAAGTAAATGTCTTGTCCTAATTAAACTCTCCTGTGAGAGCTGACTGTTAAAGAGATTTCTCTCTGGTTCATAAACAGTAGTTCATCAAATGGGAAACAGAGCCTTAAAAATAAGATAACTGAAAACTAAATGTCCATCAATCTTTCAAATAAAATGGAAGAGAAATGATTATTAAAAAACAAAACAATAGTTCCAAAAATGTTCCATTAAAAAAAAAGGATGCATGATAAAAATGGATGAAATGACAAGTTGCGTAAGCTGAATGCAACTTTTACTACCTGAAATCTTCCAAGACATTGTGATTCAGATGCAAGCATTACATCAAAGAAATATTACAATTTTTTGTTAATATTGTCAACTTGGCATCTAGCCAGCTGATACTTCCAACTTTTGCCTTCCACTCAAATTGCATCATCTGAATATTGTTCTTTCAATTAGCCGATTAGGGATTGACATTTAATTCTCTGCCTTCTTAAATAACCTCAGCCTATAATCCGAATGAAGCAGTATGAAAATGAAATAAAAGCAAGGTGTCTTCAGAACTAAAAAGCAGTAATTTGCTTTTCAAATGACAAAAACAAATGAAACCCCTTGTCATGGAAGATTACTTCAATATATGTTTATGGCAGCAAGATTACTACATGTACCAAGAAGGAAGGATTCAACACTACCTATTAGGGGGGAAATAGTTGGTGGAATTGACAAAACTTGCTGAGATGGATAAATTAACTTCTTTGATTAGAGACATGACACTATCTATATTTACTGAAACTTACATTTACATTTACTAGAAACTTCTCAGGGAATTTTGCATTAAAATAAAAAAAATGAATTTGTGATCGATGGTTTTGATTATTAGACAATATAATTATAGAAAAAAGAGTATTATGATGTAACTTTAGAAAGAGAGGTTAAAATATAATTGTCCTTATAACTGCTGTGAAGAATATCGGAAGCCATTGCTTTGTATTTTTTTCCTTTCCTATTTTTCCTATTTTAACTTTTTTCTTTTCTTGCACTTTTTGCTTTCTTTCTCTTTTCTTCTTTCTTTTATGTTTGTATTAGTTTGTATCTTTTTGAAAAGTATTAATACATATTTTATACACAGACACACAAATGAAGCCCCCCTACTACTGATACATCGAAATAAAGTGTTAAAAATCTAATCCCTGATTCTAATGTGTCTGTTTTGATTGAGCTCTCCAAAACTAATGATACCGGTGTAAACATCTATCCTTCTAAATCCAGCTCCTTTCAGATCTTTGAGGAGACTTTTCAAACGGATGAATGCCAGATACCTGTTTTAATTCTCCAACTGAGATATTGAAAGAGAAAAGATGCTCCTGTACGGGAAAGATAAAGCAAGGTTTCATCAGATATTTCACACAATTCTAATAGAAGACTTATGGGAATAAATTCAACTTTTCCCTCCGAAGGACTGCATTTTTCAGAAGCCTGAGAAGCATATTCAAGAATCTGATTTTCCCAAAGCAGTTGGCTTCATTGGAGCCTTCCAGAGTAAAGCAGGAGCCATCTGAAAATAAAACAGGCTCATTCTTGGCAAATAGTACAAAACGTTTTGACCATGGGCAGGCTTTGTTTATACATCTACAAAACAATTTTCATCCAGGAACAGAGCTTTCAAAAAAGAGTTGTCACTAGCTTTCCTGTCAACGTAACTTCATTGTACCACTTTAAAAGGAAATAGACTGGTGTTTACCAGAGCATATCAGGCCAGTAACACATATATTTTGACTCTGAGGGCTTCTGAACTTATAATTACTGCAGCCTGTTTACTGCCTATGTAGCAGTGACATAATTATCTTCTAGTCTCAGTTGTGGGCTAGGAAAGGGGCCCGAGCATCTTCAACTCTCTGCAATCATATGCGAGCTTGGTTAGAAATCCCTTACGTGTGCATTTTAAAGCCACCATTGGTTTGGGTTTTTTTTTTCAACTTGAGGGTCTGAGGTACATTTCATCCAGAAGGGGGATGGAGGAGGAGGAGGGGGAGATTATTCACAACCAGCAGCAACAAAGATGGAGATGGAAAAAAAAAACAGGCCACATAAATGATTGAAAGGGGGGGGAAAAGGGAGAAAATTAAGATTCTGAGGTGAACAGCCTCAGAAAAGGGCCACATTCTTCCCCTTCACTTTTTAAAACTGATTTTGCTCTTTTCTTCTTTCCCAATCATTGGCATTACTGCTCCAGCTAAAATTTGTAACATTTTCCACTTCAATATTTGAAGAAAGCAGCCTTGCCACCATATTTCAGGGCTCTGCATAATTCCAAGTATCATGATTAAAATGCAATCAATCTTCTAGTTTCCCTATGTGCAAAGCCTGAGAAGAGCCCTAGATGTGCATCAATTATGTTCAACTGATTTATTTAATTGTGCTACCTCAGAGGAGTTTCATTTAGATGGAAACAAACAAGTAAAAAATAGAGCTAAACTCAAGGAACTGAAGGAAAAACTCCCAGAAAAACTTCAACAACTTCAAAATTGTGGGCATCCCAAAGCTCTTCTCCTCAAACTGGAAAAGCTACAATCCAAACAAAGAAGAGTGCTACTCCACCCACTATTTTGTCTGTTTTGACCCCCTCTATAGATGTCACTGAATTGGAATTTGATTTGGAAAAAAAAATATTATTCCCAAATTCATAGGAACTAGGCCTCATGGAATCACCCTTGAAAAATTATGTTAATCCTACCGTCATAGGTGGTTAAAAAAACAGGCTTTGATCAAATGATGGTTACTATTTATTATACTTTCATATTCATTGGAGTTAAACGATATCAAACATTCTAGAGAAAAAAGGAACCACATTAATCCAGTACCTGAGTTTTTATATTGCGTTTTAAAAAAAAAAAGAGGGAGAGAGAGAGAAAGATAAAAGCTGCTGTGCTACAACTGGAAAGATCCAGGCCACCCAAAAGCCTTTCAAATAATTCCTCTGCAATTGCCAGAATACACCCTCAAATACAGTGCCTTTGAAAGAGATGATAAATATGGGATGTTCTCATCCAACCCAAGAAAGAAATGTGCCATTTACCACTGATGATTGTAATTATCACTCGGAAGGTAGACTTTTAGAAAATTTATCCTGTCCAAAAAACTGGAGGATTGACAGATCTAATTTTAAGTTGGCTGTGGGAAGGGGATGTAATTTGAATCTGAACGTAGTTTTTGGTACTGGCACATCAATATTATAAAAATATTCACCATTCAATCATAATCTGACTCTTCCATACTCAGAAAACCTCATGTTCTTTTCATATTGTAGTTTAAAAAAAAATCTGGTTTATTTTATAATAAGCTGCAGAACTACTATGGAAATAAAGGATGGGCAATATAGATTAAGTCTGGCTCCACGCTTAATAGCTCCAACAGAACTAATTAAACAGACTGCAATCTGACAAATACAAAAAAAGAAGATAACTTTGTTGTTCCTTGTAGGTGAATTCATCAATTGAAAAATGCCATTTTTAGGGGCCAAGCCACGGTGGAAGCCAGCATTATGAATGGAAGTCTCTACCAAGTCAACACAAAATATTTTTTAATAGTTCTGTAAAATTTTCAGCCACAAATGTATCGTGATAGTCAGTTCACTAATATCATAAAAACAGTATGTCCACAAATGGAATAACAAAAGCCAACCTCCATATTTTGGAATTAAGAAGCAAAGCTTCATATTTAAATTGAAAGATCTAGATTCAAAGAAAAGAGCATCCAAAAGTCCAAAGTACACACATGATTGGATCGTCAATTAGCTTCTAAGAGACATTGAATATTAGCTTTCATATTCTGCCTGTCCCTCAGAAATATTAAAGGGGGCCCTGAGAAGATATTTTCTTCTGAACAGGAGTGGGCATCCTAAACTACCTTTTGTGGCATCCCCACTCCCTAGGATTATATGTTTTTACGTTTTTCAGAAAAATGTGACCTCATTTACTTGTGGTGTATCATATGGTATCCACTCTCTGAGAATCCCTGAACCTCTTTGCCAAATAGTAGAACAATGAAACTAAAAATGGGGGCTTCAGGTCTTCAAAAAATTGTCTAAAATGAATCCCTCTTCAATGCTAAGCATGCAGCAGAAAATATGAGATGAACACATTAAAAAATATTAATGCATTTCTTTAATTTAGATCTTGGTTGTCCAACCTTTTGGCTTGCCTGGGTCGCACTGAGTGAAAACAAATTGTCTTGGGCTGCATGTAAAATATATAATGTTAATGATGTAAATAACAAACTTCTTTTATTTTTAAAATATTTTTTATTA